CATAAATGCGCAAATTTTGTTTATGTGCCCACAGGGGCACTGAAACAGCCAAGACTTGGAGGACTGGTCGTAAGTCCCTTCATTCAGTGCCAGTGTAACTTCAAAAGGTCACTGATCAAATGAACATTAAACGAAGACTATCTGTACCTGTATTACCCAGAGGAATTCTAATGTCAACTCTGTAAGTAATTAAGTCAAACATACTGATAAGACATTAATACAGTTTTAAATCAGAAGGACAAGCCCCTAAGTTTTCTTTATTCAGATTATGATTTATCAAACAATGATGGGGGCTTAACCTTTCCTGAGTTTCAACTTTACCACTGAGGCATACATTTTGACTTCTCTCTCTTTTTGGAAAGCAAGTGATCAAAACATACAATGATGGGAAAACCTGTTTTAATTCAGAAATATTAATATTTTAGATCAGCTAATTAAGCTTTAAACTCCTTGAAGTTAGAACAAGAGGGAATTATTGTGGAATGGCAGAATATTCAATGAAAACATATTTTGATTTCACAATTTGGCCCAGATGCATTAGTAGCATCTAAAATCCAAGGATTATAACTGTGTTATAATTATTGGAAGATTCCAATAATTTTTTGTAAAAACAAAAAGCATTGATAAGCTAGATATTATTTATTTACAAGAACTTTGCAATAAAGAGTTGGAATATTCCATATTAGCACATTAATAGTTATAGACCTTAAAGAATATTTCTTATTAACTTAATAGGTTAATTCAGTAAAACATTTTTAATATTTATTGGGCATATTAGATAATGTTTAAGAAGTTGGCTGTCAACTTCATTATGCAGAAAATGTAAAATAAAGGACCCTTGCCTATTTTAGTTATCCATGTTAATATGGTTTAAAGATGTGAAATTGATTTGAATTATATACCCCAAATTTAGAATTTATCTTAAATTATCTATTGTTCGAGGTCATTATACCAGCAAATATACCTTTGTTCTCACTCCAACCCTACTAGTGAGCAGCAAAAGAGAGATAAGACACACAGATTCCACATGAGTTGGACCAAATGCCTGAGATGAAATGGCTACAGGTTTAAAGTCTAATGCTAACAGTAGTCCCCTTATTTCCTCCCTGCCTCATTAATGAGAGGTCCTGGTACTCGGGAGCAACCAGACAGAAAACACACTAAAATCCAGTGTTCTCTACCATACTGAATGGTGTACAAAGCTGTCATCTGCACTACAAATAAGGTCTAATACCTTTGAATCTGCTTTATCCCCACCTAACTCTGCTTGAGAGCAGTGCCTTGCTTGTGGTCAAAATAAATTATCAGAATATAAGTTTAAATACACAGGATGCTCAAAATGATAGCCAGAGTAGGCTTATGGATGGCATTAGAATCTCCTTGACTTATTTTCTTAAGTACTACTTCCATATGCATGTGGAGATCACTCTATTGGTAGTGATTCAAACTTTCATGGCTTCCAAGGTAGGGCCCCATTCATTAAAAAGGGCACATATTGCATCCAACTCTCTGTGTTAAGTGGCATAATTGTGGTAAGGGTGTGGATAAATTTTTCACAGTTCCACTGAGAGAAATGTACAAAACGTTCTCAAATAAAATGAGCCAAAACGTTGTCCATAGAAAAATACATCTCTAACCAACTAAGGTGAATATAGACTCCATAAGGTAAATTACAAAATCTAGGAAGGTCTGAGAAAACGTCCTACCTGTCCTTCTTCAAAATCTTAACATCAGACCTCCTCTGATTATCTGATGATATTTAAATTAACAGAGACTTAAATCCACTGTAGCAATGGAGAAAAACTGGTTAATAGTTCCAAATGTTTTATAAAACCATGGGATCTTTTATAAGGTTCATAAGAAGATACTACTTTTCATTGATAAAGAGCTCATTATATCTTATTTCTTATTAGTTTTCTGTTTCCTCACTTCTAGTTCTTAATTCCACTGCTTTTCCATTTTCTTTCTGCCATTATTGTATAGTTCCTCCTGTCCCTAGGCCTGATGCACATTCATATCCCTGTAGTCCTTTCTTCTTTACTTTTTTTTTATTCCTGTGTAATGACACAGTATGCTCCTGACACAGAACTTTTTTTCATTACACTCAGCTGAGGAAGACATGTTTAATCAATGGACTGGATGATGATATATAAACTAAATCTCAGTCTAAACAAGAAAGAGGTCTTGTTAGCAGAGAGGTTATCTGTCTGGTTGAGTGGTGTTCAAGCTGCTACGGAAGATGTTGCACTTCTTGTTGTTTGGATTAAAGTATTCTTTAAATAAAATTACTTCTAAGGAAACCTTCAGTTTTTAAAAACAGGAAAAATAATCACATAGTTTGCAAACATATATTCAGCAGTTTAGAAGTCCGCATATAGTTCCTACTTTAGCACAAATATTGCGAGCTTAGCACAAATTAGAGGAAGCCCCAGCACAACTCACAAAGTAATTGTCACTGTATCATCTGCCCTGCTTTAAAATCTTAACATCAGACTTCCTCTATATCTTCATTAGATGTATGGTCCAGAGGAGGGATATGGTATTAGTGAAAGAAAACAAACTATACATGCTCCATGTGCCTCAGCTCTACGTAGCATGTAACTGGCAAACAAGCTGATACTAATGTAGAACTGCTTACAACAGAGAATACCTTTTTCAAGTCAACACTTTCATACTATGTTCTATGGAACTCTGAGTTGATTAGTGAGATCAATAACGATAGACAAGCCAATAGACAAGAGTCACCTGCTGGGGGAGATGGGCGGCATACAAATTTAATAAATAAATAAATAAGCCTCACTGAAAGAAATATCATACAACACTACTGATGTTTCCTAGAATGTACAGCTACAAAGTAATGCTGGATGTGTTCACACCTGCATTCTTAGATTAAATTAACAAAGTAAAGACCCAATACAGATCCAAAGATGAGGGTATAGAGCAGCCAATACAGATGAAGGAAACAGACTGCTGCCTCCAGTAGCAAAGAGATGGAACCTCATGATTTTCCTTATGTGCTGAAAAATTAGGTCAGGGAAAGGTGGGCTGGAAGCTAGACAATACAAAGACAGTGGGCTTTGCCTACTCCCTACTCATTTGCTCGTTGGACTAAAGGTTTCTTTTCCCAGCCATCCTTCTATGTTTGTATTAATGCAATTTTGTAAAATACTTTCATCATAAATGTATGATTAGTGTTAGCATTTGGGGCATTAGGCTGGATCCATAGTGAGAAAAGGTAGGTCAGGAGGACCTATGACCCTGGAATGAGGAACTGTGGCAAGGAACTAAAGTGGGGAAGTGACTCAACGTCCAGACAGAATTGGTTGAGTGTTAATCTCTCCCATCTGATGAGGGCAAGTAAACTCACAATTTGTTTGCATGGTGCTTACAGCCTTAGTGGTTGCCAACTGCCAGGCTGATATTAGATTTTGCAGCAAGTAAAGTGGCTGTCAGTATGTTGAACTTTGGTCCAGGTCCAATGCTGAACCAAACCTTTTAACTGCTATAAAAGTTAAATAAAGTTGTGAATAATATATTCCCACTTTTTAAAGTATGTTGTCTTGTATCTTGTTGATACCTCTTTACCTTCCTCCAATTATTCATTTAGTACTGCTAGGCAAAGAGACTCAACAAGCCTCATCAATACTCTGCCTGAAAAAACAAAAACCCTAAAAACAGTTTCCCCAATCCCCTACAATTGTCACTACACTTTTTTTTTGGAAAAGATTCTAATACTATATTGTTCAAAAGCCACTGCTATAAGTTAATTTAAAATGATATATTAGTGGATTTTTGTAAATACATATGTATTATATGAATACAAAGAGAGCACAATAAGTTAACCAGAAAAATGAACTTATAAATATACAATAGCAGTATAAGGATGTCTGAAATGATCAATCAACTTTCTATACAACATCCAACACTCTCATTTCCCATATTCATATGGTTTCATTGTATATTATTATCTGACAAATGATTGCCAAACATCTGTTACATCTTTCTAAAAATGGTTTTATTGTACTCCCAAATTGTTTTATCATAGTTAACTTACACATAGGGATCTTTATATTTCTTACAATAGTATTCTTCATGTTCCCGTTCCTAGGGAACATGAACAGGAGGATATATGGTATTCATGTTCTATTTGTGGCCTTCTCATAGACAGTCTGTTATGGGAACTCTGATTGTCTGATATGGGAACAGAGTTCTGGATTAGCTGAATGCTAGATTTAATGCAGCAGTATTCTTCTTATGTTCAGAGATATTTCACAGCATATAACTTCTTAGAAAAATTCTAATATGTGTAAAAGCCATTGATTTAATTTATTGTTACATAATGATGTCTCCATAAGCACCATCTCACAATATGCTAAGAATACAGAAATGTATTCACTGTGTAATATATACACTGCTCCTACATATATATAACGTAAGATTAACATTATTAAAATAGTGAAATATTTGGCTGAATTTTTAGGAACCTACCTAAATAAATCATTAATTGGATTAAATGGAAATTTTCACAATGAGAAAACATAATACTATATATTTTCCTAGAAGAAAGCCCCATTGAACTTATTTCTGAGTAGACTTGAATAGAACTCTACTTTGGCAAGAGAACCATTATAGTTGAACAAATTGTGAAAGTAATTCAGATGAAGTAAGTTGGACTTAATAAAAATATAAACCTGTAAAAGTTGTTATTGTTTTAAGAGTCACAGTAACTTTAATGAGCCAATTCTAACAAAGTGTGCACTGCCTTAATAATCATATCCACTGTAGGAAAAGTCTGAAATATCTGATTATCGTTACTTCTAATGCTTTATAATATAGTATATTATACTGATCATATAGTCAGCATAAGTTACTCTTGTTAAAATTATCACACTAAGCAGATTTTACCTTTCAAAAATCATGTTTTTATTTCTAAATTCACAAATCCCTTTTAAACAAATTCTTTTGGATAACTTGGTTATTAGTAATATAATCTGACTTACCAATTTAGCTACTTTTCCATAATCAATCCATCTAATTGTTGCAAAGTTTGTTGATTCTGCACAGTTGAAACCATGATTATATCCTGCATGGTATCCATATGGGAAAGTGATCATAAACTCCCCAGCCTCCTGCGTGATCTAAAAAAGAAGACAAGGACTATAAATGAGAACCTCTTAAATCTGGCTGCAGAATCCTTGCTTTCCTAGATGTTTCTTCTCAGTTATCCTTTTCTATTCCCAGTATTGCTCTGTGGACTATACAATTGATTCTTCAAAACAAAACAAAAAACTAGATAGATCAAGTGGGACATTTGACATGAGGAACAAGTAAAGATTCCCTCAAATCATGTTTGATTTCAGGTGGCTGTATAGACATATACTTGAAATATTTCTTATCAACAATAGAGAAATGGTTTCCTACTGCTTTGTCCTGGGATGTTTGTTCAACTGTCCAGTCTAGCCTACCCTCCTGGGATTTCCTGTTTGTTTCCCACCCAAGTACTAATGAGGTCCAATTTTGTTTAACATTTTGCAAGATCACCTAAGGTCAATATCCACCACCAGCTGCTATGGCATCAAGGTACAAATTCCTCCTCATATTAGCAAGCAGGAATTGAAACACATAATTTTTATCTAACCTGGTTGCTACCTCCAACACCCTTATAATCACTCAATGCTAAAGTAGATAGCCAGAGCCATGATAAAAACTAAGCCAACAGGCAAGCTTCAATAAACATACTGCCCATCATTTTCATATGCCATTACACAATGCTTAAGAGAGTTAATTACCACTTCTCCTGGGTTGGCTTTTTGGTTTAAATATGCTTAAAGGCCAAAGCATATTTAAACCAAAAACAGAAACCATAAAATTTCACAATTAAATCTGTGTATGGGGAAAATACACAAAATACGAGGAAACTCATGACAAGGGTAGACTTCATTACAGTCCATGCCATAGTAATAGCCTTAAAAGATACATTCTAGAAAAGATACATTTTCTCCATTGGTCTTTAAAACAATCAGTTGATCTTGCTAGTATTTGAACAATCATTTAGTTACAATATGATGCATGGAAATTAGCATGTAGGAGAATGGGGAAGAGGAGGGAGGGAGGGAGAGAAATCAGCAAATGTGATCAGAGTTTTATGTATGAAAAATGTGCATACATTATTCATAAGCATATATGTACCTGCACATGTGAACCTCATCACATACTCAAACAGAAAAATTATGATAAGCAAAAAAGGAAGAGGAGGACAAAGACAATGACTATCTCATCTTTTTGCTTAGAGGATACTCAATGTGCCTCACAAAACAGAATAAAACATTGCTAATTCAAACTGAAAAAGCTTGGCTGTAAAAGAAACCATTGATTCCTTTCCTAAAAGCAGAAAATGAGATCTGCTAATACAGTGCATTCCATGGCTTAGAAACACCACCAGAAAAGTTTCTTTCCAGTGAGCCCAACAAGCAAACCTTGAAAAAGAATAACATGTTTAAGAGAGCATCTCCTGCTGATCTAACTATTCAGGTAAAGATATTTTAAAAGTGGCCCCTCAGATAGTCAAGTCTCAAGTTTTTTATAATTTTCAAGATAAAATACAACACTTTATATTGTGTCTGGAAAACAACTGGCAAACAGTGACAATTTTCATTTGGGTTTAGACCAATATGTTTCCAGAATTTTTTAACAGTCAGCAGCCAACCTGCTGCATTTTGAATCAGATACATTTTAAGGATAGCCTCATAAAGAGGACATGTTAGGATGGGGTATAAGAAAGTTATGGGTAACTATTGATGCCCAGCTCAGGAACACAGTTGATATACTAGGTATAACTGTACAAATGTGCTCCTTGCCACTACTGCCATTAGGGAGACCAGAGACCAGAAGCATCTATAAACTGCAGGTTTGCTCTTTCAGGGGGAATGTAATCTCATCAAGAGCAGGCTGAACTTCAGTGCCTGAGACTATTTCTCTACCAACCAACATCTTCTTTATCTTGTCAGAATTTAACTTCATCCTCATTCAGTCCATTATAAAACATCCCAAAGGAGCCAGCTGCTTCCTCAAAGTTAAACGGCAAGGAGTAGAACTCAGCAGTATCAATATACTGATGGCATCTTAAAACCTACCATGAGATCAAAGAAAATAGGAACACTCTTCTACCTTCCAAAATAGTTTAACCATCAAGATAATCAAAACAGTCTGAGCTTTATATCCTGTTGAAGAGCCTAACTGAAATGGATCCAGATAAGCTGTATCAACTTCCGGTTAAAACTGCAAATTCTCAATTACCTCAGCCAGAAGCGGTACATTTAAGACTGATTTCCAAACTCTTTCAAGTCAAGGGAAGGTTTCTTTAACATTGGCCTTATCACTGACTCCTATAGGCAGGGAGGGATATACGCCTCCTACAAGGAAGCATTAATTACTCCCTTTAATTGTGGGGCAATATTAAGATGCAAGAGCCAAGCAAACAAACAGTATCTCTCACGAGTCCAAGGCACTTTGGCTGCTTAAGATCTACCAATTTAAAGGTATCCAAAATAACAAGACAAGTGGTTGCCACAATATTAAAAACCAACTCAAGGCATATCTGAACAGTTTTATCTATAAAGAATGATACAGCTAGTGACTGACTACTCTGTTCCAGCTCATCCAGCAGCTTAATACAGAAAAACCCCAAAACAGTGATGGCCGATTCTCTGTCCAGAGAGGGAAGGAAACATTCTTTACTACTTCTTATCGCCATGGAATTGCTCCATTCACACTCAAACTCTCAGCCCTTCTCTTTTATCACCTTCAACTCCCTGATGAAACAGACTCGAGTCTGCAAAAGGGAAGACCGTTGCCGATAGGAGGCAGCAAAATTCCAGGTCCATTGAGAAGAAAATTGGACCCATCACATACCTAGGGTGAGCCATTTTAATCAGATCACAAGTAACCAGCAAAGGATCAGGCTATGGATAAATTACACTGATTACCTGCAGTCTCAGATTACCCAAACAGAACACCAGATCTAAAATATGCCTTATATGCCTGAGGCCATATGTTAATTGGACCAGTGTTCTATTTCAGGCTGAACAAACATACCGGATCAATTTACAAGTGATTTACTGACTAGTAGTACTGCAGTTACTTACAAAGGCAGGCAGAGAGCTGGCTGTGCAGACACATGCATGCCCCAAAAATATAGGGAAACAAGATAGAGCTGGGTACATCATGGTATTGTCTGGAGGTTGAGTCATGGCAACTGGACTTTTCTTTTGGTTTGATACGTTTTGCTGCTTGTCGAAGCAGCTTCTTCAGTCTATAAAGTTGGTTGGGGGGACCCTAACCAACTTTATAGACTGAAGAAGCTGCTTGAACAAGCAGCAAAATGTATCAAACCAAAAGAAAAGTCCAGTTGCCATGACTCAACCTCCAGGCAATTCCACCTGGATGACTGAGAATTTTCATCATGGTAGTTTAGAGTTTTGTTTAGAGTCAAGCAATAGAAGACAAACAGAGCACACATTCAGGGAAACACCAGAGAGCATGGTCAGTCAGTCAGTCTGAGTCAAAGAGCAGAAAGGAAGCAAAGACATAAGAACGCCGATCCAAAGTTAATGATTTGCTGGCAGCTGTTTTAAAATAGGCCAGATGTAAGTATGGTTCCATTATATGTGTTAATGTCTTTCTTCTCTGCTCAGCTCTCTACAGCTGCTAATGCATCCTAGAGTTGGATGCTCTGCCAGGATGTGGCCCCTCATCACCTGACTCCTCTGACACCTGCTCCTGCTGATTTTTTGCTGAGTCAGATTCAGATTGCCTCAGATTATTGCTGACTCCTGGGGCTGACAACCTGATCGATCAGGCTCTTCAGCTTCTGACATAGAGGAGTCAGCCTAGCCCATGACAAACAGGTCCATGATCCCCATGTTTATCTAGGACATTTCTGTGATACATTCTAGGTCAGCTTCTTTATTTTTATTTGAGATGCCTTACCAGCATACATTAGGCTAGAAGGAACTGATTCCCTCTCTCTATGAATTCCTCCCCTTCATGGATCACTGCCTTGTCATGGCGAAGGGGCTTGCGTAACTCAGTGAAGCCATGAGCTATGCTGTGCAGGGCCACCCAAGATGGACAGGTCATAACAGAGAGTTCTGTCAAAAGGTGGTCCACTGGAGAAGGAAATGGCAACCCACTCCAGTATCCTTGCCAAGAAAATCCCATGGACAATGTCAAAAGGCTAAAAGATGTGACGCCAGAAAATGAGCCCCTCGGGTCGGAAGGTGTCCAATATGCT